TTAAATGTTTGATTATGTGTCATAAAATAAAAATGTTATGACACATAATCAAACACAACGGTCAAAAACCTAAAAGTGTTGTACATTTCCCTCAGCCGATTTATTTTATGCAAAAAACACGACATAAAACAGTATTTAAAAAACTGTCTAGATGAACATTACTGAAATATTATAACAATTAATACAAAAAATCAATAAAAGTATACCTGTAAACATTAGATGCTGGTTATTGGCTGGTATTGTTTTTCCAATCATGTTCATATGTTCTTTTCCTGCTACTTTACTTTTCTTAATTATAATCCTTTTATATCTGTCTGAACTAACAACTCCTTTCTTTCTTCTCTTTGAAGGATTGTAATCTTCATCTGAATAACTCATTTTTAACAAGGAAATTTTTAAGTCACAAGGAAAACGTTATTATTTTATGTTAATAATGTTGCCGCAGAAAGGGAACAAGTATCAGATGTGTGCCTTTCTGCAATAAACTTATTACGAGATAAAATAAACTAATGATCTTCTTACAATGATAAAAGAAAATAAACTTTATAAAGTATATAGAGTAATATAAAAAAAATATAAACAAAGTAAAATGACTTAATTTAAACAGTAAAATTTGTATAAATTGCTTTGTAATAAAAGAAAGATGACTACTTCAAGAAGTTACTATCAGGGCCTTCGAAAGCGTCATTGGCGCCCGGGTCAAAAATGAAGAGCAGCACCCTTAATTCAAACTAATTAAAGAATTTAAAATTTTAAAAGTTTTTTGAACGCAGCAGTTATTTGTTTCTAATACAGTACTTTGTACTTTTGCGTTATCATTAATTCTCTGGATTGAGAAACGGTTTTTTGACATGATCAAAACATTAGTTTTAAAACTATTTAAAAATTAATCAACGAAACCTTTAAAAAAGGTAAACAAAGCACTTAAAAACAAACTTTTTGAGCTTTTATGGTCGCCCAAATAATGATGACATTGTCGTAGCTAACCTTTTTAGCCAAAATCTTCTTTAATCAAAATAATCAAATACAAGTAACGCGATCTTGGCCCATGGTCAAAGAAGTGTTTTTTACCATTTTTTGTTTACTTAACGATTGTTCACTCTCAGCAACTAACTTAGGAGTAGTATTGAAAATCCGGAAAATGATACAACTGTATGGAAAAAAAACGTTTAAGCTTCTTCTGCATTATTAGATCAAACATCGTGGAAATTATTAAGACAGCAAACTTCTTTAATGAAAATCTTTTTGTTTACATCTCTCAGATAAAACCGTGCAAGTTCTCATACTTTATTTTAAACAGAAAAATTATCATTATCAATTCAGACGAATAAAAACATATTGCCAACCATCCTTTCCGCCTCAAATCTTGAATCAATATGCTGGATCAGGCAGTCTAAATCTTAGAAAATTCGCAAAATCTTAGAAAATTCGCAACCAAGTGTCCCTAATCCGTTTAAGATTTTCAAGCAGCTGTCCAATCAAATGTAGATCATTATCAATGGCAATAGCTGAAGATTGTAGAAGACGACTAACAGCTACTTACTGGTCAAACATAGATTTTCACGACATGTTTAAGAGCTGCCAACATTTCTCTTGGCAAGTGGTTTGATCAAGTTGATAAGAGGGCTCCATGTTGACATAGAAAATCCAAGTTGCTTTAGTGAGAATCTTTCATTGAAAAAAACTTGCAGTAAAAATAAGTATCAAGGTACGGCATTTTTAAAGAATACTTTGATCTCAATGACTGATTCAACTGGTACACATTAGGCAAATTTAGATTTAGAGCGCTATCGGGAACGTACAGAGCTTAATAAATTCTCAAAAAATTTTACCTTATTAAGGCTCGAGCTTCTTTGTAAGCACCTGACATAATGGTCTCACTTTCGTGTCCTTGAATGCGACATTTTTGAACATTCATTTTCAGCCTTAAAACTACATTAATGGTTAGTTTAGCTTATCAACTTCTTTCTACATCTGAAAAGTTTCAACACATAGAGGAAAAAACGAATAACAAAGATTATCTGCTCAGTATGAGATATATAGGCGGTACAATCGACTATGATTGTGAAGTAGATACCATTCTGGATTTCTTCGAGAGTTGCACTTGGGTTGGATTAATGCTATTTTACTCGATTAATAAGTTTCCTCCATTGATCCCTAACTCTTCTGTTTTAACGAAGAAGGGATAATTACCTACTTTTGAAAACTGTTTTTGTGCTGTGTTTTTTTTAAATAATTACATCTTGATCTTTTTGACTCAAAACAACTGGCCACAAAGAGGGGTTAGCAGTAATTATTACCAAATAAAGTTGAACATCACATTCTCCACTGTGAGATATAAAGTTTCTTGTTCTGACTCAGATGATTAACTTTGAAATTTTTAGCTCAGATTTAGGGAACTTATTTGAGCACCTAGTGATCCACAGTTCTTCAAATCACACATATTGAGTGTAGTAAATTACAAGTATTGAGTGCAGCAAAGATGCAAAAACTCAAATATTTGATAACTGTTTGGGTGCAGGTATTGGCAAATTTGCTTATTTGTCTAAAAAATGCAAAGCTTTGATTCTTTTGCTTCAAAGTCAAACACTACCTAAATGAGTATCGCTTTTATAGTGAAATCGACAATAAAGCCTTGTATGTTTGTTTTTTTGCAAGAAATTGGAGCGAACCCATGGAACGTATAACCAAACGAAATTTTCAGTTCTATGAGTGTTGACTGCTTCAAAACGATATTTGATCAGTTACCATTATAATTATTACATTGCATCATCTTCCAAACAATCAAGCATGAGCTAGCATTGCTAACTGTTCACAGGCTTACGGAATAAGCCCTCTTTTGTCTAATGGACCGTTCCCTCTATAGAAAAAAACCGCAGTGCATTTTGGTCTTTGTATTCACCGAAAATAAACAAATTATCAAAACATATTATCATGACAGCAATAAACAAAATTGACAGCTTTGAAATTAGTTTGGAACATGATTCAAATGCTATTGATATTGATTCATATTTTTTTAAAAATATTTTAATCGCTACTCAACCAGTATTTCGAGAAATATCTAGTCAGTTTAATCAAATAGATGCTGAAGAAGTTGTACAGAAACAAATAAGCAATTGGACAAGATGTCTTTCTTTACTACCTAATATAAGCCAAGAAAAAATACACAAATACTTAATTATAGACGATAGTTCAACTGATTTTCGAGCTAGAGGTGCTTTAAAGCATAAAATCTCTGGGTATCAGCTATTTAAGGAGAACTTCGTTAAAAATTTAGTTGTTAAACCCAATGTCAACATTGAAATAAATTGTTTTCTTGTTAGAGCAAACGTTTCAGCTTCAATGAAAAAAAAAACAGTACCTTATTTATGTACATCTTTGTCAAAAAGAAGGAGATATTTTGTATGCTAAATGTAAAGCTGGTATGGGAGGATGCTGCAAGCATGTTGCTGCAGTATTATTTCAATTAAATGAATATAAACAATTAAATTTAAACTCTGTACCATTCGATAAAACATGCACAGAAGTGTTGTAGCAATGGCATGTTCCTGCTGAAGCAAAAAACTCAGAACCAGTTAAGCTTTCTAAAGTTTCCTTTGAAAAGATTGATTTAGAAAAGGATCTAAACAACTCACGAAAGCGTCCTTTTGTATCAGGAAATAGAAACTTTTGTGCAACCCCAATTTTTGCACATAGTCCAAGCGATGAAAAAATAAAAAAAATGTCTGATAATTTATATAATCTGGGGAAAAGGAATAGCATTTGCAAATCTTTTAAAAGGAAACAATTATCATTCCACGTCCTACTATGAAACATCAATATCTGAATATCAGCTAAAAGTAAAAGAACTTGATATAAATTCTGATAATATATTCAATCTTGTTGATACCATAATTAATGGATTTGAAGTAGAATTCAGTGACTCATTTGAATTTGATGAAACTCAATTAATGTTTATTTCAAAAAATTTAGTTCTATCAAAAGAGAAAATAAAGACTTTAGAAAGAGCTACTTTATCACAATCTACAAGTTTATGGTTTGAAGAAAAAAAAAAGGCTTGACATCTTCAAACTTTGGTTTTGTTATTAATAGAAAAAAAAGTATATTTCCTGCTTCTATTTTGAATAGAATTTTAAAAAACAATAAAAATAACTTTTGCAGCAAAGCTTGTAGTTGGGGTAAAATAAATGGAAACACTGCAATAAAAAAGTATGAAAATATAAAAAATGTATCAGTAACAAGATGCGGATTTATAATTAACCCAAATTGGCCTTGGCTCGGTACAAGCCCTGATGGAATTGTATTAGTATATAAAAAAATAAAGGCTATTGAAATCAAATGTCCATATTCAAAAAAAGATTTAACTATAGCTGAAGCTTGCCTAGATAAAACATTTTTTCTTGCTGTTATTGATGGCAAAACAATGCTTAAACAAAATCATGTTTATTTTTATTAATGTTAAGGTGTTATGGCATTATTAGAGAATAAAGAACTAGATTTTATAGTTGATACTGAAAAAGATGTTTTTATTGAGAGTATCGAATTTCTTAAGGAGCAATGGGAAAAAACTACTTTACCAAAATTAACTAAATTTTACTTCGAGTTTATGCAGGAAAATATATTTGCAGTGCAGATTAAAAGTTTTTATATTTTTTACAAGCAATTTATTTATCTGAAACAAGTTGTGGCAAAAAGTTTGCTAAATAACAACAAACTATCCAAGTTTTATTAATTTCTGGCGCCATAGACAATTTAAATGGTGTTTGTAAAATATGATAATTTTTTATTCGCTGAATTGCTCATTCTACATGTATACGAACAGCAGCAATTTTTCTAGTTTCATTCTCATCTTCTTGACTGAGTTGAGCTTTTCCATTTAAAAATGGTGGTATGTTTAATGAAACATTTTTTGGTAAATCATCAGCAATATCAAAACCTCTATCTGCCATTACACTGTCTCCTGGTTCAAGCAGGTTGTATATGCCACAATCTTTAGTAATTTATTTGTCCGAAAAACGACCACAGTATAAATCAGAAACAAAAGTTATGGCTCCATTTGGTGCTACTCCAATTAATCCTTTCCCTGTATTTTTATGTTTATAATTAAAAAAAGTTGCAGACTGGCTTCGAAAAGATGTAGGCATTTCAATAAATAGTTCAGTGCAGTCTAAAATAACCCTTGTTGATTCATATTTTTCTTTAAAACACTTTGGATTTTTTTCTTTTACAGTTTGTTTTGTTGCCCAAATTGGTAGCATACGCATTTGAGAATGCAAAAAGTCAGTCCATGTAACTATGATTCTACTAACATGACTTGAGGATATGTCAAAGCGCAGCGCCATGTCTTCAATTAAAAGGCCAAGTCGAAATCTCGTTAAAACTAAAAATAATTCAGACTCTGAACTCATTATGCGTACTCTTCCCTTTTTATTGCAATTAAAATCTGTTGTTTTATCAAGGTCTGTATTTGACCCCCAATATATAAGTTTGCTTGCAGCAGGTTCTAAATATTCTAGTAGAACTTTAAATAGATTGTATGATTCAAAGCCAGTATAAAATTCAAAATGGGCTTGATTATGTTTAAATCTGTCAACTGTAAATTTTAATTTATTGATAGTGTGATTTTGGTTCATAATAATATTTTTCATTTCTTTTTTTTTTGGTTTTTATAATGTTCAGTTAGTCCTTTAGGATAATAATTTCTTTTTTTAACTTTTCAGACTCGGTTTCTTCAAATGAAAAATTAGCATCATTTTCTTCGTTTTCAATTTCGTCTATTTTTCTTTTATATACAATAGAACTATTTACTGTGGTTCTTGGTTTTTTTATGTTGTCTTTAACTTGTTTTGCCAGTAAAGATGGACAGTTGTTCATATATGTCATTTTTTCCTCCTGTAAAGTGGACTGAACAAACCCAACGCCACATGAAATATTAAGAAACTTATTTGGATAATCATTATTGCTAAAAACATATTGTTTACGGTTGCATGAATAACTTTGAGCCATTTTATAACTTTGCAATTTATTCTATAATATTTTAGATTATGTAAAAAATATTTCATGATCGACAGTATTGAATGGTTTCGAAAGTTCGATGAAAACACCTAATGTATATTTAGACTTTTCAAAAGAATTAGAGATTTTACGTACAAATTGGATAATCGTATGTTTTGTGGATTTTAAAGCCGAATTGATAGTTGTATAAAAATTAACTAGAATGAAGATAATTGTATAATTTATTGTACATAATACGTATAGTATTTTAAAAATGTGGAGAGGACAGAGATAGGGCGATAATGACTAATATTTTTTTAGTTACCTTCTTTTAAAATTGGGTCAATTTTAGCAACTTTTAGTTGTTCAGGAAACACTCCTTGGCGTATAGATGCTCCATACACTTGCAAAAGAATATCTTTTCACTAAAAACATTCTTTGACTATATTACCGTTTATGTCAACTGCTCCCATTGATTTATTTTTTTATAGAGAATTGAAAGCTTTTTCAAACTCTTGAAAAGATAGTCCAGAAGATAATTCGTTGGAACCAACGCAATTATCCACCCGCGCTAAAAAATCTCTAAATGTAGCATTTGTATAAGAAATTTTGTTTGCTAGTTTTAAACCGATGTCAACAAAGAAATTATTAAATTCATGAACTATAGCTCTTGATTCGCATATATGTTTTTTATCATCTGTAATTGCTTGGGGGAGGGAACCTGAGCATCTTTTTTGTCTACCACTAATTTCATTTATTATTTGCCAAGTGCGTTTTTGAGTTATTTTTAATCTTATCTAGGAGTCTTGAGTAGTAATTTTTTTTTTCAAGTTTCACGAACTTTTTCAAATAGATATTCGAATTCTTTATATATATTTTCATTTGCAGATAATTTTGTTTTAAGATATTTTATATAAAGCTTCTGTTTTATCTTTGATAATTTTTTAAATCGCCTTGTCACCGAAGGGTTGGTAATATTATTCGGATTTTTCGTTTTAGCAATAATAGGAAAGTTAGCGTCTTACACGGAATAAAATATCTCAAGAAAAGTATAGTAAAATTTGTCTGCATTTTCATTAAAGTTAATATGCTTACAGTCTAAAATTGATATTGGTTGATGCGGAATTTTTTGTTACTCTAGTTGGATGGAAGTATTCAATTTTCGAAAAAGAATCGTAAAATTTTCGAAATTAAATATCTTCACTGTGTTGAAAACAAATATTTAGGTCTCCAATAATGAAGTTCTCTTATTTTTTTTTATACCTTTTTTAAAAATACTTTGTTAAAAAAAATGCTCAAATTCTCACTCCCCCCGTATTCTCACTCCCCTCGTCAAGTGGTCGATAACAACAGATTGATAATATGTTTCTTGATTTATTGTTTATAATTTCAATAGTTAAAATTTTTTTTATCGCTATCAGATACTCTTAAATTATTCCTACATAATAAACAATGTTTTCATATAAATATATAAGAACTCCTCCACCGCGTTTATAAGTAAATAAATAAATAAATTTCTAAATGCAAGTAAGCATTTAGAAATTAATTTAAAATGAGAAATTTAAAAGTTTTAAGTTTAAATTATTTAAATTATTCAGTCAAACAAAAATATTAAGACAACTTTTTGTTTTTTAAACAAAAAAGATTTACAAAATTATTCTTAAGATTTTCAAAATTAATTTTAAGGCTTCGAATGTTTATGTGGAGAATTCTAATTTTATTTAAATTTTTGTCGCTAACACTTTTAAAAAGAAACATTTCAAAAAGGTTTTTCAAACCTAAAAGGTCAGAAATTTATCTTTTAGGATTGATTTTGAAACACCCCAAATACAATTTTTATAGATTCTATTTAAGAAACCTTTAGGTTACACAAAGCTGTAAAAATTAAAATCCTGCGGGTGGCATATTGTCAGAAAAGGCATTTAAAGGGGGCGAACATATTAAATTCTCATGTTCAGGTGAAGAAACTTCCAGAAACGCTACAAACCTTAAACTTTTACATACTTATATTAATATCAAATAATGATGTTCTGCCAAAAAAAAAAAAATTAATTTTAGAAACAAAGAAAATAACAACGCTTTTGGGGCATCGACCCCAAGTAGGTCAAATAAAAAATTAAGAAAAATATTTTCGTACAATCTTATAGTAAATGAAATTTTAATCATGAATTCAAATTATTTGTTCGTTTTATATATATATATATACGTTTTTTTAAAAAAAAATACCATAGCTTTTGTACTGTTTGACAAAAAATTGAAATTTTTGCTGAATAAGATAATTTAATTACTAATTCTCCAGCTAGTTCAAACGAATTGAAACCCAGATGAGTTACATGAGATATATTAAAAGAAAAATATCAAATCATCTTTCTATTATTTATACTAAGGCATTTCAAACTAGTACATTGCCACAAATCTAGAAGGATGAAAATATTATACCAATTTTCAAAAAAGGAGACAAGAAACTAGTTACAAACTATAGACCCATTAGTTAAACATACACCATTTTCAAAATATTTGAAAAATAATACAAAAATATATTTTTACTCATCTGTTAAAAATTAATCTGCTAGTTCCTGTTAACACAGTTTTTATCCGAAGCCCTTTGCAAAACAAATCTTCTTTCTGTAATTAATTCATGGACACTTAATTAGATAAAGGTCTCCACGTCGATAATGATTACCTTGACTTTGACAAAACATTCGACAAAGGCCCACACGAGCATCTTCTTTTGAAACTAAAAGCCTATGGAATTAATGGTCCGGTTCGCTATTGGATAAGAGACTTTCTCTCAAAACAAAGACAAAGAGTAGTATACATGGTAGTTACTCTGATTGGGTACCAATAAAAAGTAGAGTTCCCGAAATTTCTGTGCTCCCAGCTCTATTATTCATTATATACGTTAATGATATTTCCAATATAATTAGTTCAAATACAGCACTTTTTGCCAACGATACAAAAATACTTTACCCTATTATCAATTTGTATTCACACACCTCACTTAATAATGATATTGATAATTTGGTTAACTGGGCAACTAAATGGGATTTGAAATTTAATGTAGAAAAATGTTTAGTTCTACAGCTAGGCTACAAAAATAAACATCATGTCTATACTTTATATAATCCAGTAAAAAAAACAAGTATTGACATCAAATCTACTAACTTAAAAACTGATCTATGAATAAATGTTAAAAATAACTTACTATTCTCTAAACATCTATAAAAGTTAATAAAGCAGTGCGAATGCTGTTTCTAATAAAAAGATTATTTTCTTTTCTCCACTGGGTTTTAATATATTAAAGGCCAGTTGAGGTTAGAGGTATCAATTGTCCCTATAATACTACTCAATTATTTCTTTGTCTGAATTTAAAAAGATAATAATGAGTTCATATAAGTATTGAACAACTAAACGGTGAGGTTTAACCTTTTGAATATCATTCGATAATTCAATATTTGAGCTAACTGTTTGTATTTTTGGATTGATTTGATAGTTACAAAATAAAGAACTTTGAATATTTTGACATGAGTATTCGTATGGTAATCCTTCGGGAAACTTTTTTCTCATTATCTTGGGAAAAATTGTTATGCTAAAGGACAAGTTTATAAAGAGGCTTGAAATGTTTTTCTTTGTGTTATTACCCTCAAACCTATTTTTCCTTGAAAAAAAGAAATAGGTGGAGGAAGAAAACTAGTTGGAATAAAATGAAACAGTGAGTTGCGACGACGACCACAGCAGTTTTGGTTATTACATTTTACAATTTGTCAGAATAAGTCAGTTTTGGCTTTCTCTGACATGTTACTTACACAACATCCTAATCTGCTCCAAATTGCTTTAACAGTAGATATTTTTCACTGTTTGGTTTTTCGTACTCGTTACAAATTTCATTAATGACTTTACTGGACCTTATTTGTGCAAGAAGCTTTCGCAAAATTTTCTTACTCAATAATTTTGTCGCGTGTTTCTCCCTTTTGAATTAAAATGGTTTCCAGAGTGATTAAATTTACATGACCTAGCAGAAAGTATACTTCCTGCTAGGTCATGGCTAACCAAAGCCATTCTCCTCTCTAGCCTATAAAAGGCATTTCTGCGAGGAGAATTAATGGCCAAAAACATGCCATCAAGGCCATGCTCTTTGAAATAAGTCTTGGTACAATAAATAATTTTTTTGATTGTAATATACAATAGAGTGACACAAAAAAATTAAATGTAATAATTTTATTTTTAATTTTGTTTAGGTGCCCTAAGAAGTCCTTACGGACTTATCACAGATCACCGCGGATGAGGATTTAATTGGAAGTTCACGCCTCCTTCCTAAGCGATGTCGCAAAACTTACCCAGAGGTGGGGTTTGAACCACGGGTCCTTTATTTATGAGGCAAGTGCGCTACTATTGCGCCACGGCTCATAAATAAAGAAAAAAATTTAATGTCTTGTAATTAAACTTTTTATTTATATCGTAGAATATATCCCTTTCTTTAAAAATGTAAAAAAAAAAATTGAGGAGAAAAAAGTTCTTGAGTAAATCCTTACGTTTAAAAATTTTTAAAATTAGAAAAACAATCAAAATTTTTTATATATGTCGCTAATTCCAAAGCGCAATTTTATGCAAGAAATACTTATTAATCTACACTGATTTATTCTTTAAACCATAAAATAATTAAAATCTTCTATTTATTAAGAAATTTTGCTAAGCTCTTTGTACAAATAAATTACAAATAAAAATTTATTAAAGGCAATAAAATGCAAAAAAAAAAAAAAAAAAAAAAAAAAAAAAAAAATACAAATACAAATAAAATAAAAGGAGATAAATATTTAAAATATTAATAAACGATAAAATAAAAAAATTCCAATGAAATTCCAGAAAAAAATCTAGAAAAACTTATCTTAAATATTTAAAGTGATATTAAAAAATATAGACCTGTAATATATACAGTATAGACTATATAATAATTATAAAGAAATAAATTATATAAGAATTAAAAGAAAATTTGAATAACGTTTGTTTCAGACGATTGGAGGAACTATTGTAACAGGAACATTAGAATGATGAAGAACATAATCACTCACACTACCAATAAACGTACGTCTTAAAGCGTTTAAACCTCGCGCCCCCATAACTATGAGGTTTATTCCTTCTAAATTTGCAGCTTCTATGATAGCTTCACCAGGTTTACCGGTTACGACAACAGTTTTTTTTGGAATCTACACATAAAAAACAAAAACAACAACAACAAATAAAAAAACTTCCTAAAAGTTAATTAGACATTTAAAATTTTAAATACTTTTGCAGATTCACATAATACTTCAAACTTTTCCATAATTTGTGAACTTTTTTTGTTTTCATTAACAATAGAATTTAACCATTCGTCCGATGGCAACACACAGGGTTCTATTGAAAAAATGTACATAAAACGTACTAAAAACATACAAGATTGAAAAACATACAAGATTGAAAAACATACAAGATGTTAAAAAATTGAATATAATTTGTATTAAAAACATACTAGGCTTTAGTGCTACAGAAACTAAAATTTAAAAGCGGTCATGCCCATAAAGCACGTACGAAGTTAAACTGAATTGTGACTCCCTCCCTTGTGCACAAAACATTATGCTTTCAACAGCATTTTTCCTCCTCTACGTACGTACACATTATTTATCAAAAAATCAACCTTCTCCCTCCAACGAGATAAAGAGCGAGAAAAAATTAAAACGCATATATACTTGCTGTCTTTTCAAAGAATGGGGTTTTGCACGCATTCATACGTTAATGGGTAACCCCCTCCCACAAACCTGCATGAGTACTTTTTGGAAAACCCCAAACTCAATATTACAAATTAATATAGAAACATCAAACATACCTGAAAAACTGAAGAGTGGAAGCTTTGGTGGTGTAGCACAGTGAACCAAAAGAAGAAAGTCTCCTTTTTTGTATATGTTCTAAATGTAAACTTAATGCAAGTTATTTTTTATATATAAATATATTTTATATGTTTTTGTATTATAACAAAGAAATATCATTAAAAAAAGTTTTTAAAACAAAAACTTTTTTTATAAGTTTACTATTTTTAAACTTCTCCTAAATCTTTTTATACATACACGCATAAATAGACATGCACATATTATCATATTTATATTAGCACACACGCTTAATCTATGTAAACTAATTTCATTAAAATATTATTAAATTGTGTAAAATTAATTTTGAGCCTAAAAATATTTCTTTATAATAATTTTGAAGGTTCCTACCAGACCTGATTTTTTTTTTTTTTTAAGTTGATTAAGGTGCCCCAAGAAGTCCTTACGGTCTTATCGCAAAGCACCGCGGAGGAGCATTTAATGGGAAGTTCACACCTACTTCCCAACTGATGTCGCAAAACTTGCCCAAAGGTGGGGTTTGAACCACGATCTTACGTTTCTGAGGCAAGTGCGCTACCACTGCGCCACGGCTGCTTAAATATTAAATAAAAAAAATATTCAGAACAAAAAATGTGGAATGTTTCAAACACCTAACAAATATACTTTGAAATTTACAATAAACCAAAACTCATTCTCGTCTGGCTTCTTGTTCAACAAGTTGCATCTTTTTACTGTATCTGTCCTTTCATGCTATAAAACTTTTATTCAGTTTTTTTTCCTTGCGCATTAAAAAAACTTTATAACTCCTACCCATCTTCATGTTTTCCTTTTTTATACACCCTACAACTTTTTAAGTCTTCAGTTAACTGTTTTCTAGTATTTTAACTTGTTCTCTATTTTAAAGTAACTCATAACTTAACAGTTGTTGCTTGCAATCTTGTTGGAAGTAAATTAGAGTTAAAAAATATATAAATAAAAGCCAGTATTTAATAAATAGTAAGTGTAAACATAAAATTATAAAATATAAAGTATTGTAATTTTTTTTTCCAGCCCGTGCAATTAACCCCTGTTAAATCTTATAATTTTGCCAGGGCCGGGTTTGCATTAGGTCTCATTTTTAGCTGGGGACTGGGCTAGGACTAAGGCCCTAGTGACTTACTAACTATTAGTATGTGTATCTATAGTGTTTTTTATAAGTTTATGTTTGTATGTAGTCTTTTTTTGTATTAATTTTTTATATATTTATAGTTTGTTTTTTGTATAATAAGTTTGTGTTTTATTAAAATTATTATTTTTTAATATAAAAGGTTGCTCCCTTCCCTGCCTACCCAAGGTAAGGTGGGTTTCAAAATTTTGATGATAAATGGTATACACTTGGATATAAAAACACATTGATTTGACAATAATATTGGATGGAAGTGGGAAACTATTGCTTTATATTTGATGCCAAATAAACTTCTGTCCACCCAACCCAAGGTATCTTAATTATAATCAATAGTGACCTGGTAGAGTTTATTTTATAAATCTGAAGAAAAAGTTATAAGTTTCAATAAAAAATTTAATTTTTTTTTAAAATCTAGATTTTGAAAATATTAGATGATATTTTAGAAGCCCCTCTAATGCCCAAATTTGCTTTTATATACACTTATTTTTATATCCTAATGTACATACTTAGACCTTTCTTTTGATACCAAGTTGTATGACATTTAATAAGAACTGACAAAGTTATATCATTTTAAGTGAAGAAAAACTAAAAGAATTAAAAAAAAAGTTAAGAATAATTTGTTCACGGTTTCTTCAACAAATCCATATATCAAAAATTTGGTACTTAAAATGCTATAACTTTTTGTAGAATTTTTCAATTATAGTAATTTTTTAACCTTGAAAGAGTTGTTTTTAAGGTCTTTCTAATGATATATGACAATCTAGTATTTGATTATTTTATAAATTTAATGTCACATACCATATATATAAATGTATATATATATATATATATATATATATATATATATATATATATATATATATATATATATATATATATATATATATATATATATATATATATATATATATATATAAAATGGTAAAGACGTTGTATTTATAATTAATTTATCAAAGTAATTTAAAAAGTTAACAACTTACATTCAAAGGCTTTTTCTGCGTACGAGCTCCCATCAATTGCAATAAGAACTTTTCTACATTCCATTTTTTTTATTTAGCCAAACAATTACAGGATAAGTCTGTCCTCGATGCTTATTATTTGAGTTTTAAAATTACTGAAAAGTTTGTTGAATATATTTTGATTTTTAACATTTTATTAAAGTTCTTCTACATCGATGATATCTCTGATTATTATCAGCGGTAAATATCACAAAAAGATTTTAAAAATATTAAATTTTTCGAATACAATTATAAAAAGTTCACTTTAAAAGTTCACTAAAATCTACTGCAAATAAGCGTATTGCTTTGTTTAAATTTTGTCAGAACTATTCGAAAACTATTAGTAACTAACTAGTATTAACGTTTGTTTTCTAAATGTTTAGCTAGAATCTATTGAATGAAATTTGTTTTATTTTTATGAATAATTTATTTTATATGGCATAAATATAAAATAGTTTTTACAATTTTGTCAGCGCAAAATCAAATGACTCAACATTTGCTAACACAAAATTGGAAGAGAATAAAAATTGAAAACGATTTTTTGGCAAAGTTTGAAATCTTTTAATAAAATTTGATATTTAAAAATTTCAACTTAAAATTGTTCTGGAATTGATACTTCATTTACATATTAAAAAACAAGCATAAAGTCTAGACTTTATGTTCAATTCATTCATAATTGACTGTTTCCTCTATGGAAATTAAAAACACCGAATCTATTTCGGTTTCCGTATTCACTTTGACAAAAATAATTAAAAATAACTGTTTTAAGATTTATGTATTTTAAAGTCAAAATCTTGTAATGACTCATTCCATTCAAGAAAATATTACTTTGAGCCAACAATATCAACAAAATATGAACTTGCTTTGTTCCAATATGCTACGATAATTCAATAAAAAAAAAAAAAATTCATCATTTTTAACTCCTCCCAAAGAAAAGTATTTTCAAAAAAATTTTAATCACGGGAATTAAAATTTCTTTGAAAATACTTTTCTTTTACAAAGCCGAAGACTGAACGACGTCAACGGAAACATTGGCGAGAAGCACAGCAGCGAGGTAGAGCAAATGCAAAGTCACGCTTTTCATCGGTAAATGATTTATGTATAGAATCTCTATTATTTTCTTCATTATCTAGTTCATCAACTCCAAATCACAATGAATCTAGGCAGAAAATTCAAAGCAGAAAAGGCATTGGAAAGGAACGAAGTAAAGCGTATTGACTGAAAAACAACCTACAAATACAGATAATGAAGCTAACTAAGCAAGTTGATAAGTATCGAAAGCGCGCAAAAAAATTAAGTAAAAAACCATTAAACAGTAACACGCTACGCAGTAAAATGTTAAACATGACCCAAGGTTTGAATGGGCGCTCTGAAATCAAAAGAGCACTTCTGTTTCATAATGTTTTATGTAATACCTTACGCTAGAAGTATTCAGCAACCAAATCAGACAGAGAAAAATTTGTCATAGCAAAAATAATTACATTTAAACTGATGAAGAAGTATTAACTAAAGAAAACTTGTCAAGATTTGACTGGTATTAGCATACGCTGTTAATCAAGATCTAATTGCTTACATAATCATGCAAGATATAAGTCTTCAGTGTATCGCTATGCATCTGTTGCATTCTATGAAAGAGATAATAACAGTGAAGTAACTACCAGCAAGAGAGACGTTATCACGCGTAAATGTGAAAAGTATGCTGTAGAAAACCAAAACATAAAAGTTTCATATGCTACATTTTGTGCTTGCAGACTATTTTGTGTGGTAATTCCGACTGCACCTGACAGAGAAACGTGCCTCAGCAAGCTGCATGAAAATGGACATCTTTTTATTAACAAGCTTACTCAGCTGAAGACCGTCAAACTGTATGACTGTTGGTTATTGTATAAGAAAAATAAATATTTTGCAAAAGAGTGCTTTTTCAGAATCTGTGAAACATGTTGTTTAAAAGATGAAGAAATACTGGAAAGAGAGTTTGATGGAGAACAACCATGCAAATGGCGGCAGTGGAACACAATTCAGGAGAACAGGCGTTTGGAGTGATAAGCCAACAACACAATATAGGAACAAGTGCCATATGCTAACTTGTCAAGTATCATATGTTAACTTGTCATTATTTGTACAATAAAGGATTTACTCGCGACAAGACACGATCGGAAGCACACTAAAACGTACCACTGATCAAGTAGTAGACATGGTGTCACGATAACTTCAGCTGCAAGTTTTGTAGAAGCTTTACACCAGAAGAATGTTATAAATTATTTCTTGTCAGCAAAAAAGATATTGGTGTTATTGTTAAAATGATCCCCGAAGGAGTGAAAACTTTTGCAGTAATAATCAAACTATATCAATAACAATTCATTGAAAAGGAAATTGTATCTGTTTGTAGTTTTGCAAGATGCCGAGCACATGTAATTGCCTTAAAGCACGGAGGGTTCAGTTTAGTCCACGGAGAGTGGTCGCAGAAAATAATAATAAACATGTTGCTGAGATTGAATCCGATCTGCTCAATACAGCAACAGATATTGTACAACTAATTGAAGATGGACAATCTTAAATAAGCCACACAATATGATAAATGCTGATGGTGTTTCAAATGTCGAACAACATCCGAACTTATTATGCTCGAAGTGCACGCCTGGTGTATTGTTCAATACAATAATAATCTTTACATTTGGCACGTACTTCACAAAGATGCAGATTCAGCTGAATGTGAAGTATCCACATTACAAATGATAGAAAAGAACAAATTTAAATATACAACTCGTGAAGACAAAATATGGTATAAATGGGATCAAATAATCAAAAAAAGCTTCACTAACAGTTGAAGCTTCTAGATCTGCAATGTCGCTTAGTGAAGAAGATCGGAAGAGCATCAATGCATACAATTAATCGATTTCATCATGTTTTCAATATATTATTGACTAGTTTACTGCACTTAATAATCTCAA